AACGTTTTTTTTTATATTTTAGGGATGAATTTAAACAAAAAAAATAAATTAATACAGGAACAGCGATCTCGTCGATTTATTCGTAAAATCCTTGCTTCAGTAGTTAAAAATAGGCAAAGTTTAAAAAAAAAAAACGCTTTACTGAGCACAGTGAATTTTTTTCAACAAACTATGAGATTTAAAATAAATCTAACATAAATTTTATATTAAATACAATAAGCAACAAAAATTTGTAAATATCGATTTTATCACCCTAAAATTGAAAAAAATAATGAGAATATTTAATAAAATTTAGAAAATTAGTTTAAAAAAATAAATTACATTTAGTAAAAAACTAAAGAAAAACAAACTAAAAACATTGTTTTACATGTAATCTATTAATTATTCAGGAATTCTCTCTCATTTCTGAAGGGGACCATTTTCATTCCTGTACCGTGTTGTGCCTCGACAAAAACTCTCCTCAATTTCTGGGGACTCTGGTGAGACAAATATTTTTTTATATGTAATCACTTTCACATCATGCATGTTTTTGCTTCTTTATCCACACACAACACGTCGATCAAGCGTTTATTTTAATAAACAGCTCCCATAAATTCTACTGTTTTACGTAATACACCAGACAGCGCTTTTCCGCAATAGTAAAACGCTCGGCTCCTTGTAACCTACTCTCCTTCAAACGTCAAATCCGATAGAGCTCCGATACCCAAAACCAATCCCCTTGACTTCAAGGATTTCTCAACACGTACTACATAATAAAACAAAAAAATTCCCTCTCCCAGCCAAAAAAAGTAAGGAAAAAAAAAACAAACTCACCTATGCCCATAGAGTCTCGAATTGATGGGGTTCATCCCAGCAGTCGAGCTCGACTCCCTGGCGCTACTGGCCAGTGATCCCGCATTGTTCCTGTATATCTCCTCGTAGATCGACGGGGAGGCCCTTCTGCCGCCATCGTCGCCTTCGGCATCGGCCCCACCGACACCGGCCGCACCCACGACTTGGGCCACTGCCACGGTCCGCGTGATGTCCCTGAGTATCTCCTCGTCGCTCTTGGGACAGTCACCCTCGAGCACCGAGCTTAGGGTCCGGGACAGCTCCAGGAGGACGTCGCGGGCCGACAGGGCGCCACTGCTGTTGGACGCGCCTCCGTAGTCGCTGCTGCTCGCTTCGCAGCTGCTGCGGTAGCCGGCCGAGCCGTACAGACCTGTGTAGGTTTTTTTACATTGTTACTTTTTTTTTTTCAAGTCTCAAAAATTATGTGTTTACTTAATTGTAATTTCGCTACATTCACATATAGATTTATGTTGAGCGATCAAAACCAAATATACGTTACAAAAGATCTATTGTCACCCGACTGATTTTGGAGATGGTACAATTAAGTGAGATTTTTTAAATAAACATAAAAAATTATTCAATCGTTTAATTTTTCCAGTAAAATCATAAAAAACAGTTACGTTAAATTAAAGTTCCGGAGTTCTCGCAAACAGAATTTATATGTATACCATGTATTTAAATTTTACGTAAAATCTTTAGTTTTTTAATTTCATTTTTTAATAAAATTAGTATCCGTAAACTTGAAAGTTCTTATTCAGTTATAAGAGATTCGTTGCCATTAAAATTAATGGTACTGAATTAAAAATTTTATTTAGGACAGCATAAAGCAGTAGCTGGACATTCAGAACAATCACGAATTTCCATTAACCCGATATTTTTCAGAGAAATTTAAATCTCGTGGTAGAAAAAAAAAAAAAAAAATTGTTCCTTACACATTTGAAAATGGTTCTTTATTGTTTTCGTTTTGGGACGAGATGTAAAAAATTTTGTCCCGCACAAACGTGGTGTGACAAGGTAATCATTTTGATTTTTCTTCGCAAAGGTTGAGGCCGTAGTTTTGTTGTTTGTTGCATCAAGAGACACACAAGTGGCGAGGTATATATATATAAATATTTTTTTTTTGGCAGAGCGTTTGTGGTTTCGTAGGGGAATTGTGATTATACACGGGCAGCGCGCGGCACCACGTAGGTACACCGTGTGATTTGCGACGAGTGAAACAGCCGAGTTAAGTGCTGGTCTTTACGGGCGTGAAATTTTAATTCTGGGTATGGCATTAGGTGGTTGACGGTCGGTGAGCGAGGGATCTCGCGGGGCGTTCGTGAAATTGGCGTTGGCCTTGTGGCGAGAGGATATGGGTTTTCTTTTATTTTCGGGTGAGAAAAAAAAACGTCAAAAGTCAGGGCTACCGCGTCTTTGAGAGCAACAGATTTGCGGACGTGTGCAGGATAATGGATGCTGCCTTTTGACTCAGTTTGTGGTTTTAGTTCATTTTTGATGTTTTTTTTTTTTTTTTTTTTTTTTCTGACACATAATTATGTGCGAGAAAGTTTTTTGCCTGAATAAGGAGAAAAGTGTCTAGACGATGCTCGGGAAAACAAAAACTTTACTACACGAGGAAAAATGGAAAAAAATTTATTAAAATCATTTCGTGCATTAATGCTAGAAGTTTTTTTGACGTGACACAATTTAACAAAAAAAAAGTTTTGTCCAGAAATAAGTTAAATTTCAATATCAAGATTCAAAACCTACCATGAAAACATACTTCGGGACATAATTTCGACCTACCGATTGAACCATATATTCCGGATAAATTTATCCGGAGAAAATAACTACAGTCGTTTTAACCGTAAAAATTGCCGTATTCCCACCACATAACCGAAAATTTGTGCTTAAACTAAAAAAAAAAAAAAAAAAAAAAAAAAAAAAAAAAAAAAAAAAAAAAAAAGTAAAAAAATGTATGAGTAATTACTAACTCTCTTGTCTGCGATTATTACCCTCGCGTCCAGCATCATCGCTCGAAGCCGTGTCCGGGGAGGAGTTCTCGACGGACGAGTCATCACTCGGTGACATCGGCCAAATGGGCCTCGGTATTATCTCACCCTCGCGTATCGGTGCGAGGGCCTTGGCCGAGGTACCAATGGTGGCACTACCATTGTTATTATTATTATTATTATGGCTGTTGTTACGGGTGTTGGGATGGTGGTGGTGGTGGTGGTGATGGTGGTGGTTGTGATTGAGGTTGTTATGGTTGCGATTGATGGTGGGATTGGTCGGTGTCGCGGCAGCGTAGCAGACGGTGGTGGACGATAGCGGGGGCGAGTGGCTCGAGTAGCCGGAGCTGAGTGAGTTCTTGCAACACCGTTTGACGCTGATCTTTTTCGTTGCTGCTGCTGATGGCGATGGTGTTACTTTGGCTGTGGGCTGGTGGCGATGGTTGCCGGTTACCAGCTGGGATACATCCCCGTCGAGGGAGTCCGTCTCGATCCTGAAAGATATATTTCATTCTTCAAGCATACACTGTTCTTTAATTAATGAAAAACGAAAATTACATCGTCCTGCGATTGTAATGCGTGTTGCTTAAACATCAGAGTTAAAATGACTATACGAGCTGGAATAATTACTGACCAAACGGTTAACATTTTCTAGCTCATGCATCACAATAAGAATTAAATTTTTGCGGTGTCTTTGCTTAGATCAGTGATACATTTTTGGGGCAATGATTTGTCGTTAGTCATTTTTAACTTTATAGTGCTGGATTGAGCAAATAATCATTTAAAAAAATAAAATCTAGTGTGACTGTTATTACGTGGGTTTCTCGGTTATTCAGTAAATAAAGACAAAAATCTTAAT